TCTGAATAAATTTCTTATTGGTATCATCATTACTTTCTTACATCATTGGCCATCTATTGTAATAATTCAGATATCTATACCACTTTTAGGGTATTTCATACACTATGGTATTTATATACTATTATGCTATTAGTGTTAACTACACTATCTTGCCATATATCATATCTACTAGACATATCTTTAATTTGGAACCGATCATACAACCTACACTTCAGGTGTAGTGATTCAAGTATAATTGGCAAGATGTTATCTCAATGTATACACATAATATGACCAAAATGTATCTTCAACGCTATGTAACATAAGTCATAACTAAATACAAATCAAATCATAAATGTGCAACATATCTTGATAATATATAGACAAAAGTTGGCATATAACTTTTCAAACTACCTTTATAGGGATCATCAATTATATATTTTCCGATTTTTTCCAACTTTTGCTAATTCTTCTCCCCCTAAATTGGTAAAATATCTCATTTATAAGGGCGTCTAATTCTATACCAACTTAGTATACAAATTTGCATTAAAATTCTTTTCATCGGGAGGATCACAATCAAAATAATTATCTCAAAAGATTTGTATTAAACAAGTTTTATCTCTTCTAGAGAACAATTTCAAATGAAGAATCATTTCTTCATTAACTTTACATTGCATGGGTATGTATTGTTACACTTTCCATAATATGTTCTCTTCTGGAAATCAATGTCAATGGGGAGACATGTGTTGTGCAGCTGTACGTTTTTCCTTCTTTTCCAATTTCTTATGTGCTGACATATAATAGCCCCAATCAAAAGAATTATTATACAAGCATATATCACTTGCTTGAAATTCTACTAGGTAGTGATCTTCGAGATCTTTAAGGATTTAAGTAGTGTATTTGGTGAGATTCTGGTCACCTAATAGTTGACAATAACATATTTGTTATTCTGGTGAACTTCTGGTCACCCATTACTCTTTCGTGAAAAAATCAAAACCTGTATTAACTCTTGACATTTTCATCATTACGAATTATTATAAATCACCATTCAATAATAGCTCAATCTCAATGTTATGTCTTGCCATTTAATTCATTTCATATATGTAACATTGAGAGAGCGTCAGCACATTATCAAATGAACTTCAAGTTTTTATGACGGGTAATTATTAAACCCGGATGGCCTAATTTAATTATCACGTCCAGTCACTTCTCTAAATTTGAACTATGGTCAGTATTCCAACACTAGTGATCACTTTATTAAAATTACTTTATGCATGGCCATGAATATGATGTAATATTAGAACACCAACATGTGTTTCTTTATATAATTGGCAAGACAATCAACTAATACTTGATCCAAAATTTTATACTCTGCTGGAGCTTTGACTATAATCTTGATACATGCTAAGCTTGTTGGACATTCTACACTCTTCTAGAGTACTCTATATAATCATGGTACATATCCATTTTACTAAATATAATCTCTTATAAAGATCTATCAAAATGTATCACTTCCTCAAATTTGCTATTGTCAATAATTGCTCTTTTCCTGTTTGAAGATTCTTATCTTTGGAATCTATTGGGCTCGACTACGGCTACCACGCTTCAGGCGTGCTTTAGGTTCATTAGCAACTAATGTTGTCCTTTTGGGACATCAATTTTAATTAGAGCATTTACAATTGGTATATAGTTAATGACATCTATTCATATCCATCTTCAGAATGGTATCATTTTAAAATATATTAATTAACATGTGGCCACTTTTATTAAATAAGACGTTGATATTTAAGTTAATATATGTACCAAACTGACCATCAATATATTGTATTATTTATGTGCAAGGATTACATAAAATAATGAAATAACTAACCTTTAAATCTCTTTCACCTTTAAGGCATAAATTCTTTTAGCAATGCATGTATCAAGCATAATAAAATTATTCTTATAAACTCTTAAAAGTAACTCTTGCCCAATTATATAATCTCTATAAGTATGGGAATAATAAATATATTTTTACAAGTAAGTTTCCCACAATGTCATCTATCTCTTGCTCAAATAAATATTGTGCAATCATGTTTAATTTGCAGATCGTATACTTTTGCATGAATTATATTCATCACGAAAACATGCATAAGCATGTATCATCTTAATCAAGAATCTAGTAATCTATGAATCATTAATACTCACCCAAAGTGTGGTATCTAAAATAACCACCAAATTAAAAGACATTATGTCAACTTTTCTAAACTTTTGTATTATTCTTAAGGGTTTTGGGCTTTATAAGTTCAAGAAACTTTAAGTATATGTGTGTGAGTACTCTTTATAAATCTAGGGAACTTTAGGTCCGCACATCATGTTTTTCTAATTCTTATTTAATGAAGCATAATTAAGAAAACATCATGCAAACATGTTGTTATCCTTTCAATCCCAATTTCTCATTTACTTCAGGGAGTGAGTAATTTAGTAATTTATGATTTACCAACTCACATTCACCAAGGGTTCGGTGTCGTCTAGAATACTATTCAAAGTCTAGCTTTTTATATGTTCTTTCTCATGGCGTTAAGAAGATAATAAACTTATAATAGTAGTCTTGATCATATGTAACAAATATTAGTCATGCTCATATGTATAGACTCTAATCTCATTTATAAAATCAAACCAAATGAATGTATGAGCATCAAACAAGTTATGGCGATAGCATTTAAATAACAAGTATTAGTCACTCCAAATATATCGGTCCAAACGAAAAGGTTAAACAGGTTTCATGCATGTCCTATATTTTGCAAAATTGCAACAAATATCTTTATCTATAGTTGGATATAATTTGAATATTAAAAGATGAAGAAAATATAGAAATGTTCCAATCCAAGACTATTATCACATGTCAGCTTGTATATGCTAGTATATAAAAGCGTATACATAGATCACAAGAATATATGAGAAGTAGTAAACGAACCTTTAACTACAATAACTATGGATCGGTGGATCCCAACTCACAAGGAAGCATCATGTTATATGGTGAGGGTTATAGTAGAGTACATACTATATATACTACCACACATAATACAAGAAGTAGATGTAGAATATCCTAGCTCTTCATATTACAATCATAATAATTATAATTATGGCGGCTAATTAGAAACAAAACCTAATGCAAAAACAGTTCCAATATCTAAAATGTAACAAATGTTGGGATAACGATAATCATCAAATAAATATTTATATTATCAATGTGATAAAAATATTGTAATCCAAATAAGTATCGATAAGCAAACAATTACCTTAATGGCGGATTGGGGAAACATAGGGTATAAGAGGGACTGAGGGAGACATAAGGTATACTTGTATCCTATATTAATTAGATATCATATTATTGTAGTTCACGTTCTAGGATTTATAAAAAGCTACATCGTAGATAAATCAGAATGTGAATATAGCTATCACTACTCAAAACAAAACTAGAATATAAAGTTTCAACATTAAAATATAATTAGACCAAAGCATATAAAGTCCCCCTTGGTAGAGAGTAGTACTCTGTATAACATGTAATTATTTGAGATTGTTGCAAAACAAAATACCTTTAACAACATATCACCATATATATATATATATATATATATATATATATATATATATATATATATATATATATATATATATATATATATATATATATATATATATGAATCATATGGGATGCAAAAGAATACTTGGATCATAATTGTTCTTATTCGAAGCAAGACATATATATATATATATATATATATATATATATATATATATATATATATATATAAATTTATTTTAATATTGCTCATCACAAGAAACACAATCACATAAAATTGAAGTAATAGATGCAGCAGTATATAATATCAAGTTAATAGCAAACTGTTGACGAATTATCGTGGAAACATAATAAACAAACAAAATAAACATCTTCATGCCTGGATGGAATATTAAAGGAGCTAGATAAAATTACCACAACATGAACATTGACAGTACTAATACTAAAAGGGTGGACTAATTATTCTCATTTCCAATTCAGAGCATGGAAACTTTAATGACTTCAAAAGAAGAATCATGAACTTAACGAACAAAACTTGCCAAACGAGTTATAAAAGTACTCTCTAATATGTTAGAAATTAAATCACATATCCATAAACGAGTAAACATAACTTAGCTGAAATAAGCATAAAATAATTTAGAGTATTCGAAGTCTAAACAACAAAACCTCTATCACAATCCCCTTGTATAACAAATCATACAATGCATCAAATTAAAGAAATCAAAATACATGTGCTCTTGAATAACCCAAAGAAATAAAGGCCCGTGAAAAGAAAAACCACCAACAATATCAATTAGAATTGGTGAGTATCGGAAGAGTACAAAGAAGAAGAAAAAAAAAAAACACTAAACCTAACTTTCCAAAACTCATTATAGCTACGTGACAACCACAAATAAATTACATCACCAATTTTAACAACATCAATCATATAAACAAAATAAATTTGCTCCAAATATATAAAAAAAAACATGCTAAAATCAACATACCATGAATCAAATATTTGAAATCAATAAATCGTCTCAGATTGTTACTGAATAAGCAAATAAAACGATAAATACTTATCTCAATGTTGCGTAGACCAAACTTGCCGCGTCATGGTGAATCTGACCTGACCTAAAAGACGATTCCTAGCTAGAGGTAGAGTTTGGTGTTGATAACGTGTTAAATATGGAAGAGAAATAAAGAGAGATAGGAGAGAAATTGGGGAGAGAATAAATTAGTCTATCTTATTCCATAGAGTGGGGGATATATATACATACAATATAACAAGAGTTTGCTTGGATCATAATAAACCTTAGATATAAAATATTTCGGAATGATAAAAGGAGGATAATAAATATCCACCCAATATTTTATAACAAAGTTGAGATTATTTTTACAATTTTTCTTTTTGGTTTCACCATTAGTAATATAGATTTTCGTATACTAGTAACAGTTTCACACGACGTGTTGATAACAAACTATCAAACAAAATTTATTAAGCTACAATTAAAAATTACTACTTCATCTTAACCTTCCTGCTTCCATTTTCGAGCTAGTGATTAGATATTAACAAACTGCAATCTTCAATATTAAACAAGCTAAAATCAATAACTAATTGATTTCGAAGTTGACTCAAAAGTTAAAAAATTTCTCCATCAAATTCTCACCATGAATCGAGGGTTTCTGCCACAAATCATATCCCTATTTTCAATCGTGTTGCTGATCAATGGATCTCTTAGCACGGCCGTGAATTCAGCTCTTTTTAAAATTGATCCTTCCAAAGTCAGGCAAATTTCTTGGAAACCCAGGTCTGTAATTTAAGCTATTTGTTGGGAAATAATTATAATTAGTGTTGAATTTGATTGACTAAATTGTGGGTTTATCGTTTTTGTTTGAATTAAGGGCATTTGTATATGAGAAATTTTTGACTGATGAAGAATGTGATCATTTGATATCAATTGTAAGTCTTAATCTGATTTATTTTAAAATAAAAAAAATCTATGAAGTGTACTGCAGTTTTGATTTTTTTTTTTTTTTAATTTTTTGATTTCGAATAGGCGAAAAAGGAACTGAAGAGGTCAGCTGTGGCAGATAATGAGTCTGGGGATAGCCAGTTTAGTGAGGTCAGGACAAGCTCCGGCGCCTTTATCAGCAATGCAAAGGTCTGATTTTACTCTCATTTTTCGGCATTTTTGGGGTGGTGTATTTTGTTGATTGATTTCGTTGTAATCTTAAACTTTTAATGATGATTTGTTTAGCTGATTCTGAACCTCATATGAAACTAAGATTGATTGTGCAGTAGATTACGTGATTAGCATTGAAATTTCGAATCCCGGGCAATATTTTGTTTGAAAAAACAAGTGATGATGAACACTGTCGATTAGTGGAGCATTTGTTTATTGGGTGTGTTAAATGAAGAATTAGTGTTACTATGTAAGAGGATAGGAAAAAGTAGAAATTGAGGACAATAGCTGAAGAATAAGGAAATGAACTGAATACTGCGATGAAAGTTGTGGGCATAGCCAAAAATTAGTTTGTAGAAAGATGTATTATTATTTGCATTTAAAACGAAAGGCATACATGCGTTGCAAATTGGTATATAGAAAAGAAATCACTTTTTAATAGGAATTAATATTTAACTGGAGATAGTTTTGAATCTTCGAAAGGTTAGTCTTGCATTGTGGTGGTAATTTGCATATATCCTTACCTTAGTCTTTCCGTTATTCATCTGTATTTTGCTCTATTTCATTTCAGGATGATATTGTAGAACATATAGAGCAAAAACTTGCAGTCTGGACATTCTTACCACAAGGTTTTCTTTCTCACTCTCTCTTTTACTATGTGTCGAATTGCATCAGGTTTTGCAATTACTTGTATCTGTAAATGAACCTAATAATTATGCTATAATCATTGAAGAGGGATATTTTTCTACTGATGTAATACTTATGTCAGTCACCTTCTAGCATCATGTTGTACCTGCTTTGTGGTGCCATTAGAGGTGCTTCCATTGCTCTACCATTGCACATATACCGTTGAAACTATTGATTGTGTAATAAGAAATATCTGGAAATATTTGGTTGCATGACATTCATCGTTTGTTGATTAGTTATCATATGATGATACTCCGTATATTGTCTTTGCCCTAGTCATTCAAAACTTCCTTCATTGCATCAATTTCACTAAAAAATTAATTTCAGAAATAATTGTAATGATATTAATGAGGATGTCTAAGACTATGCCAGTAAGCTCATTTATGGTATTAAATGTTTAAAGCACATTCATCTCTCCAGTCTTATATATTTAAAGCAGTATCAATGCTATTTTATCATTATTATCAGCTGCACTTTAGTTGAATTTCAGAATTCGAAATATATTTCATGCAAGATATTTTTCTGAAGAAAAGCAGTGTCTTTGTTCTATGAGAAATATTAGTATAATCAGTTGATTGAATTATGTTTTATGTTTGGAACTTGTTCCCTTGAACCTTTCACATGTTATTTTCTTTGTCATAAAGCTTGAATTAGGGTGCTGCCACTGAAAAAAAATTCTTTTATTTTTTATTTTTATTTTTTTATTTTATTTCATTTTTTAAAATATTGGGCCAGGGGGGGGGGAGAGGAAGGTTGGGGGGTGAATTAGAAGTAATTATCAGTAATCCCCCTTGCATTGACTAAAGCTTCATTTGTTTTGATTGAAAACATGTTCCGGGAAAGTTTATTTTTGTTTCCTTACAAGGGAAGTTATAGAGGAAGAGGAAAGTGGCACTAGAAGGGGAGAAGATGGATGAAAGTGCAAACTTGCATGGTTGCTGCATTGTGAGTGTTGTTGGCGAGGTGGGAAGCAGGGAGTGCTGCATGGGAGATAACGCTGTTGGCGAGTGGTGGGCTGTTGCATACTTGCGTGGTGTGTGTGAATTGCTGTGTGAGTTGAGGGAGGCAGGTACTGTGTGATTTGGGTGTGAGACGTGTGGTGTTGTGTGTTGGTGCTGCACTGCTTTTGTGGTTGGTATGGCTGGCTAGTAGCAAGGGCTGGGGCGAGACGTGCAGTGCTACGGCTGCTGGGCTTCTGTTGTGTGTGTGGACAGCAAGGACAGAGTGCAGAGGGCCTGTGCATTTGAGGGAGAAGCATGGGTATTGTTGGTACAGCGTTTTGTGGGGTGCTTTGGCCTGACTGGCAGAGGGGGGGGGGGGGAGTTCAAGGGCTGTGAGGTAAGTGAGTAAATTGAATCAGGGCAGTGTTGTGGGTTAGTGCAACAATGAGGTGGGGCAGCGCTGAGTTTGCTTGCTAGCTGCTGTTTGTGTGGTGAGTGGCGGCGAGAGAGATAGAGACAGGGGCTGTTGGGACGTAGCCTAACAGCAAGGGTTGGGTGGTATGTTGCTGCAGAAGGTGGAATGTGGGTAAAGTCTAGAAGTCTAGAAGGTGGAATGTGGGTAAAACCACCACCGACGAACCCTGTATCACCAGCCACAAACCCACAGACGAACACACCCACCACCGTGAACCCACAAACCCATGAACCCAAACCACCAACCACAAACCCAGAACCCATAGGCGAACACACCCACCACCGTGAACCCACAAACCGAAACCACCTAACCCACGGACCCACCTAGACCTACGAACCCAGACCCAAGAAACTGAGACCCTTGCACCAAGACCCAAACGAGACGCACTAACCCAGAACCCACAAACGCACTAACCCAGTATCCACAAACTTGGAACCCACACCCACGAAACCGAGACCATTTCACCATGTGTGAAATTGAGGGTCTTTTTGCTTCAATTCATGAGAAGTGGTTGAAAGAGGAGAGAGAAAGTTGATGGGGAAGAGGATGAAGATGGAGAAATTAGATTATGGAGGAGAGAAAGATGATGGGGAAGAGGAAGTAGATGCTGAAGGAAGAGAGAGAAAGATAATGGGGAAGATGAAGAGATGAATATGGAGAAATTGATGATTATTGAAAGATAAAATAAGTTTAATTAGATTAGGTTAATTTTTAATCAATTATGCTTTAAGTATGTTATTGTTGTTATAAAGTTTTAAGTAAAGGTAATTTTGTAATTTCATTTAAAAAAAATTACTAAAAATGGAAAGATTTGGGAATGTTGCAAATAATAGTTAGCACCCTTTTTTGGTAAATGTTGCAAATAATAGTTAACAGAGGTAGTAATAAGATAAGACTGAAAATCACTTAAACAACTTAATTAAGAAATTAAATATAAAATGACCTAAGGGAAATAAAGGCCCAAAAATTTAGTGGATAATTTACACTATTTCCTAATCACTAGCTATGTTTGACATAAATGTCTCTTATTAGAGAGGAGAGGAAATTAGGTGTGGTTGACATTGCAGACAAACTAAGGGAAAATCGTCTGCGTTGGTTTGGACATGTAAGACGGAGACTCGAGGGTGCACCGGTGCGAAGAGTGGAAGAGTGGGATCATGGATGTTAGGGGTGGTTCTGAGCATGTGTAGGGTGGTCGATCGCACAGGGCCCCTAAGTGAAAATATTATAAAAGGGCCCTAATATTTGAAATTTATTTATACAAAGTAAAGGGAAAACTTGTTAATCAATAATCTATTCTTCAATTTTATCATAAAATTTATAATTTAGTAAAATATTTTTCCTTACAGAAATGATTTTAGGACCAATTAAACAAAATTGCACCGGGCCATTTTCAGTGTTAGCATTTATAGCCCCGCCTCTGATGGATGGGTTAAACGAGGGAGAGGGAGACCAAAAATGACTTGGTTGGAAGGAGTTAGGAAGGATATGAAGTATATGGATTTGTATGAGCATGAGACATTTGATCGTAAGGGATGGAGGAGGAATATTTTGTAGATGACTATACGGAATAATCATTTTTGGTTCATATAGCCTACCCCACTTATGGGATTAAGGCTTTGATTGATTGATTAGAGAGGAGAGGAAATGGTTGTTAAGAGTAGGGAGGAAAAAATGTGGTTTTGCCTCCTTTCAAAAGAAAAAAGTAGTATATGATTTTGAGAGAACTATTTTCCACCTTTGGGAAGATTGTTTTCCACCTTTTTTATATATTGAACAATTGATAATGGTAATTCATTTTCCAAGATATTGTTTTCTAGTCAAAACAAATGGAGCCTAATATCAGGATAAGAAGTCACATTGGAAACTATTAAGTGGTTGATATATCGTTTCAAAGAACAAATTTTCATGTAGATCAGATTTGTACAAAGGATGGCGTAAGTCATCTTGTATTCTTTTAACGTCAGTCCCCCATCCACTATAAGTTAATGTATACACCTTCACTAGGATCACTCATGATACATAAAAGTCACATCTTCAGTCTTCATATAAAATGTCACCCAAGTCTCAACATGTTTTGGTATTGCCAAGGCATGCTTATTGGAATTAGATCTTATATATGGCGTCAGCTGTCTAACCAATTCTCAATTGTGCTTCATATCTAGGTTTCATAAGTTGAATTTAGTTACCTACTGAGACTTGATGATACAAAAAAATGTGATTGCATGTTTGCTTGAGTTATAAATCTTTTTCCAATTAAGGCTTCGTGTTTATCTGTCTGTGTCTTTGCATTAGATATAATAAATAAAAGCAACTAAAGTGCCTTTTTTTCCCCTTTCAAATTCTCAGAGAATGGCGAGGACATACAAGTTCTTAGATATGAGGAAGGACAGAAGTATGAGGCTCACTATGATTACTTTGTTGATAAAGTTAACATTGCTCGTGGTGGCCATCGTTATGCAACCGTTCTTATGTATCTATCAGATGTTATGAAAGGCGGTGAGACAGTGTTTCCAAACGCAGAGGTTAGTTGATCTTTATTTACTGTAATAAATGCACTACAAGCATTCTTGCAGGTTTTTAATGTCACATGCAATGTTTGAAGCCTTCTATTTGTGCTTATTTCTTACTGTAAAGTTTGTGCGCAGCATTTTCTTGTCTTGAGCAGTGTAAATTGTAGACTTGTAATAAAATTGACAAGCTCTGTTCAATGAGCCAGGGTCTGATTTTAAGAGATTATCTTTGGGCTGTAAATTATTGACTTAATATGTATTTAATTATAACTTTTTACTACTATGGACAGTTGTCAGAACGTCAAAAGGCAGCTATTGCAGCAAATGATGATTTGTCCGAGTGTGGAAAGAAAGGCATTGCAGGTATGCTCCTAACCATCTTACCAAGAATGTTATTTCTGGGATTATTCTTGCCCTTACATCTTATGGATATTTTTAAATTCAATCAGTGAAACCAAAGAAAGGGGATGCTCTTTTGTTCTTCAGTCTGTCTCCAAATGCTGTTCCTGACCAGATGAGTCTCCACGGAGGCTGTCCTGTGATTGAGGGTGAGAAATGGTCTGCCACCAAGTGGATTCACGTTGACAATTTTGACAAAATCCTCACAGATGGTTGTAGTGATCGCAATCAAAATTGTGAGAGGTGGGCTGCGCTTGGTGAGTGCACTAGGAACCCGGAATATATGGTGGGAACTGCTCAGCTTCCAGGTTACTGTCGGAGAAGTTGCAATGTCTGTTAGTTTGGCTGTTCTATAATATTGCAGATGAGGCTGATGTAAAGTTGCTGTTACATTCTTTATCCTCACTGAGTTATTACCTTTGTTCCATATTTTCCACGAAAGTTTTGGACATGCAATGACATCTTTGTGGGAAAAAAGTTATAGGTTGTACTGTAATTTACCCCTGTAATTTCTTTTCTAATATTTACACTGTAATATCTTTTTAAAAAAAAAAAATTAGCTTTATACATCCATAGCAGTTTCTTGTTGCTATTTCTGTTATGGACCCGTTTATAACTTCCTCTGGTGAGCTTGTTACACTCCATTCCAAACACAGTTTTAAGGACTTGTAAACTATTAATAGATCTCACAAATAGGGGACAAACTGAAGGCAACAACAAAAAGGGACATTGCTTCATTAAGGTTTCAAACAAGCCATGAGATCGTTGACTTTCTTATTGTCTTGATCGAATAATTTAGGATTAAGGGATGATGTTATGAACTTAACCGAGTTAGTGTACAACTGTTTTGGTTTCTACTAAATCTTACTTCCTCCATTTTTATTTAGTTGACAACGTTTGACTTTTACACTATTCACACACTACACTTTGACTCGCTTTTGTGATTTATAGATACGATAAAATATAGTCACGTGAGATCTTGTTTGAATCGTATCGATGCATATTATATTAATTTCCACTTTTTATAATTTTACAATGTTGATAATTAGAGATATTAATTGCTAAAAACATGCATTGGCAAGCGTGATAATAAAAAGGTGTCAACTAAAAAACAGAAAAAGTATATTGAAATCTGTACCGTTTGATATTAGAATAGAGTATACATACAATATTAAGTCCTAGAAATTATACTATGTTGTCTAAATTAATCACATAAAAAGGCTAAATTTTGGTATTTACTTGAAAATAAAATTGATCGACAGTTACATAGTTGGTTATCCATAATTCTTCTTAAATTATATGATTTCATACTTTTTGAGTACCAATGAGTACAAACATTACATGTTTCTCTTACAAATTATACAAATTCATTCACTGAATCATGATGTACTCTAGTCCATTTTCTTCTTTGTTTCGAAAAGCTTCCCACCACAGCAGATTGTTTCATATTACCAATTCGATTTGCAAATGAATCATAGTATGTCGTTTCATCAAAACTTTCCAACATCTATTACCATTTGTCCATCTATATCTTCACTGCCTGTTGCAAGGACTTTGATCACCTTAACTTGGAAGCTCGAGTTTATAGATGGATAAAAATCAGTCAACAATACAGCACCAAGGATCTCTCCCAAAAACATGCCCTACACCAAGATTACACAGAGGTACAGATGTAACCCTCATTCTCCCAAAAACAAAAAAAAAAGGCCAGTTTCTAAAATAACCGGTCTCTTATGTATGAACTAAAATTTGCCTAACATGAGCGGCTGAAAACACTAAATCAAAGAGACCAGTTATTTGTAACAATAGGTCTCTTTTATTTACCAGGTTTTTTTGCCTCTTTTTTAGTACCCATTTTTTTTTATCTCTTTTGTTTACACCATATATCAAACTGAAATTGTACTTCCTCCGTCCCAGAATAACCGAGGCATTGAACTTTTTTCACTATTCATATATTAATTTTAATTATAGTTTTTTATTAACATAATAACAACGTTATATTATCAAAAAAATATGTTGTTAGATAGGTATTGATATAAAGTTTCAAAATATAATCTTTTTTGTAAAAAAAAATTCGTCAATATTTACTTACATAAAAAATAAGGTCAAACTAGTGCATCGGCATGTGTGCAAAGTTTGACTGTGTCAGTTATTCTGAGACAGAGGGAGTAAAATTTACATATTTGTAATTCGTATATTTTTATAATAGACTTGTGATAACAATACTATGAGGTATTCTTCACTTTTTTTTTTTCCTTAGATCTTAATTATAAGAATTTGGTTCTTAAAAATTTGACTTTCATAAACAAATTTTATATGCTATGATGTTCATCATCAGCATAATTTTTAATTTTTTTCCTTAAAAAAAAAAAAAAAACTATCAAGATTCAATACTACTGATTGTAAATAATTTTATTTACAGTATACTTCACATACATTATTAACCACAATGTACAACGTAAAAAAAAAAAAAAAAAAAAAGGTGTGATTAATTATATGGATTACTAAATTAAATTATTACAAGTATGTTTTGGCAATATATATGTCTACTCCTTAACTTAATATATGATTCGTCTAACCATCATAACTTTAAATTATATTATTGGTTTTTATTTTATTTGCCTCAGTATACATTGTTATTATTGGAAATAAAAATTCAAAGTTTATATGGCAAATAAATAATACTCCATATATTGAAAGTATATTTTAATGGGCTTAATTTCCGTACCCCAATTACCTAATTGCTAGATCCGCTACTGGTTGAACATTTCAGTTCTAAGTAAAAATGAACATTTAATGGTGTTGTTTCTTCATAATTATTTTTGTAGGCTTCAAATACTAGCTCTGTTTCTAAATTTCGACTCACTTATAATTCATGTGGTCAAAATAAAATAACTTTAACCAAATATGATCTATACATAAGAAAAATTACCATGGGAGATCTTATTATATTCATCTTAGTTTATACAAATATCAACTTTTTTATAATTTTCACTTACACAGTTACACATAGCCAAAGATATAAATGGTCAAAGACGCACATTGCAAATCGCGCAAATGCAAAGTGAGTCGAACTTTCGGAAATGGAGGGAATGCTCTCTCTTTTTTTTTTTTTTTTTTTTTTTTTTTTTTTTTTTTTTTATGCGTCAATTTGATTGTCATACTTGCCAAGACATAATTTTGACCATTAATACCTTTACTTGTCTATTAATAAAAATTGTAACAAGATTATATTATGAAAATAGACATTATGACGAATCTAATGATATATTACATGATAACATTTATTTATTTTATATTAGTAAAAGACTAAATCAAACATGGTATGCGAATAGTACAAAAGTCAAAATGATGCATTTAAAAACAAAGGAGAGAGTAATACTTATTCGACAATTTTTATTTTCATGTTCAGCTGCTTCTCGAAAACTTTTTGTTTTGCAACTGCTTCTTCACCAGCTTTTCTTTTAATTTGGACTCAAGTGCTTCCTTTTCATGAGTTGCTTCTTTGGTAGGTCCCTTTTCACCCTTTCTCTTGAAGCACAATTCGTTTTAAATCAGAAAATAAACCGAAAAAATGTAGATAAAATTTTCAAATTGAGCCTAAAAAACCATAATTCAACTTAAACCCAATCCAAATGTAATTCCAATCCTTATAATCACATTACTAGGCCCCAATCTATTTCTTATCTCATCTAATAGCCCTAATTTTGCTTAATTGACTTAATTAACTATATAAATTTTACCTTAATTATCATGACACGTATAAAAACTGACAAGCCCATATAAGATTATGAGTTTATGACAAGTCGACAACTAACTTAACGCAGAAATTAACATATGCGCCAGCTACTAGCCGACCTATTTCCTTTGTTTTTGTCCTATAAATACTCCCTTCGTACCCCAACATTCAACACACAACGAATACAATATACTAAGCCCTAAACACCAAGGTTATTAACCTCAAACCCTCCTTAAAACTTCTTTTCAAGTCAATCAACTAAAGCCCAAGGCTACCCAGTCCAGCCAACAGACTAGTTTCTTTCTCTCTTCCTTGCTTGTAAAAATAATAAATAAATAAATAAATAAAAAGATTAATCGCGGACGTCTATACTTGAATTAGAAAGGATTTAATTTAAGAAAGAAAAATTGCGTAGGATTTCCAATTCATAATTACTTGGATCGTATTGTGAAAGTAAAGATCAAGGTTTAAGCCAAATCCTTATGAGTCTTATTCCAGAGCCATTGTACTACCATCCTTAAACGTTTAAAGGTCCATTGAAGGTTCAAATCACGTATTATACACCGATAAAAGATTTTAATTAACATTATTTTATAATATGGTTATATGTTTCATATGTTCTACAAGACTACAAGTATATGACAATTTAATTGTCTCACCTGGCTAACTTACTCATATAACATACAATAATTAACACAAGGAAAAGGAGATCTACTTGAGGAAAACAATTACAAAAATCCCTCAAATAATTTAATTCCTAGACCACAGGGATATGAGGTGGAAAGCGATACTATTACTCCACCACCTCAACCTCTAGACTCTTTTCTAAGTACCTTAAAAGTTGGATTCCCTTAAGTTAACCATCCGATTCTCGAGTTCAATATTTCAGATATGCTTCGCTCTTTATCCTCATACAGAGTATATCATCATTATCAAAGAGGAATGCTCCATCAATCAAGAGAATGGTGTCCGCTGAACATCGTTGAGCATACAATAAACAAAATCAACTCTTAAAATCTTATACAGATGCCAATAAAAATTTAGTGATGATTATACATACAAGCCATATAACTAGTCAGCTAAGTTGGCATTGGACTTGCTTTGCACTCAACATGACATTAGTTTATGAAGAAGCGCACACAAAGTGATTATCAGTCACTATATTTCCCCATTGTACATACTTGTGAGAACTCTCTGCTTCCCATTTGCATAGGATTGAGTATTCATGAGTCTGTTCCGTCATTTCGAACCTCTGCACTGAAAATGTTATCATAGTGAGGCAAAAACAAGGGAATTGGCATTTTCAAGTATAGTTTGGACTTCATCTCTCATGATTATCAATAGAGATGAGAATTTTCCAAACTGTACCTGGATTGGTTGGATTTCTTCCACCTTCAAGAAATGTTTGATCTACACGTCTCCATCTCTAGACATTGATGTCACCTCTTTTTCTCTCCTTCAAATCATTCTGTTCATCAGACATTAAACATGTATTTCATTTATTTTAATTTTCTGAATGACTGAAGCATACAATTATCATCAAATGTATCTAATATTACTGTAAGATAACACTGCAGTCAAGCTAGATTGAGGGTTTAGTGTATTAACCAGAGCCAGCTACGATTCAGAACTTGTTGAAACAGGATTGCCAAGATGCTACCCATGGATATATTAATGATGTTGACAGCATCATTGTTAAGCTGCAAAAACGTAAGTTCACAGGTATGAGATATTCAGAGTTAATATAATCAACAGCTGACTTCATCCCCTCCTGGCACAGGGCCAAATCGAATTTGTAACCCGTTGCAAGGCACTATAAAATCCGGAAGCATAAGAACTCAAGGAATAGCATA